CCCATGCAGAGGGAAAAAAAATGTTATGGATTTCAAACTATATGCAATCTTGTTTTGAATTATTTGTAAAATGGCCATGGTGTAACTCAAATTATCGAATGGAAAAGATAAAGACACAAGCTAATGGAACTGTCAACTTGCTTCAGATGGTGCAAGGATGAGCACGTGGGCATCAGATTAGAGGACACGTGGCAGGGGAGTGGCATTCGATTTTGGAAATCAAAGGACACAAAATTATTATTTTTTCCATCATTTTGAATCATATTCGTCTTTATAACAAAAGCAATTCTCAAAGCAAATTAAAATTTGATGTCAGAACTTTGCATGTGTCTGCAGAAATGTTCTACTTCAATTTCCAAATAACTAATGGATATTTAAGTGTTACATTTTTTTCCTTGACTGATTTTAATAGGGCAGTATGTTCATTAGTGTTCTGTTGGCTCTTTACCATTTTTTACAATGTTCCTAGTGCATTTGGAAAGTGTTTTTTTAAACCTTTGGTGTGAAGCAATGTCTTTTTTTTTTCTTTTTCCTCCCTTTTCCTTTTTTTTTCCTTTCCTTTTTTGTTTTTTAGTAATTTAGGAGTCTTTGGTTTAAGGGAACGATACTATCTAAAGACAAAAATGCTATTATTAAAAAAAAAAGTCTATTGATATGTATTGTGTGTAACAAATTTCTGAAGCAGGTATGAATACGCATTTGTATTTCCTGTAGTGTCATCAATATAAAATTTTACTCTTTGAAAATTGAGATTTAAGTTACAACCTTTGGTTTCTTGAACTCTGACATATAAAAGACTATTATTAATGATCATTCTGCTTTTCCCAATTGCCATTTCTATCCATGGTTATTTCTTGGTTGTTACATTGACTACATAAACACTACAGCATTTCCCACTGGGCAGAGTGAGGGGCAGGAGTAAGCAGGTGAGAGAAAGGCAGAGAGAGAGAGAGAGAGACTGTGTGTGTGTGTGTGTGTGTGTGTGTGTGTGTGTGTGTGTGTGAGACAGCAAATTGAAACTCTTCTGTCTGGGATCCCAAACTATTTATGTAGAAGGGTGTTTAAATTACTCTGCTGGGGCACTGCAATACTGTACTTAGTAAAAAATAAATAAAAATTAAGGAAAAAAAAAAAAACCCTAAACAATTATTTGTATCTACTGACTTCATTTACAGCATGTTTATTTACATGTTATTATAACACATCAACTTAAGCCATAAACAGAATTAGCACTTTGCCTTACCATAAAATACAAATCAGAAGTTAAAAATATTTAAGAAATCTGTTTTAATATTTACACACGCTCAGTGAAAGTTATGGTTGCTCACATTACATGTACTCTGTACATTTAGCAAAATGGCATGATTGCTACAGTGGAGAGTATTTTGCCCTAACCAACATGGTGAGGTTTAAGTTTTTTTTTTTTTTTAAAGAATTTTCTGTTTTCTTAAGACACTTTTGTTTTAAATCACCAATGAACAATGTTATCCGTTTCCTTTAAAAAGAGAGCAGTTAGACAAGCAATGTGAGAACTAGTTAATTCCCGATGTTCCGAGGTACAGTACTATTGTAGTGTCAGACTGTGCAATGGTTCATAAGAACTGTAGGCATTGATTTGCTGAAAGAGAAATGCTCAGTACCCTGTATTACTTGTTTCAATATGTTGATTTGTTGGTCGCCAAATTAAAAGTATTCGTACATCAGCTTAATGAAGGAAACAAAACTTATTAGCTTATTCCTTTTGTTTTCCAACATAGGAATGCATATATATGTATGTATGTTTATATGGATCTATATATACACATATATACATGTAGATATGTTGTAAGACCTGCTTTTGTTGATGTTGGTTTACTTTTTTTGTTGCTGAGTGTGAAGTTAATCATGAAATTGGAACACAGTTACCTATAGAAAATGGAAATCATCGTAGTTGCCAATTTAATGCAGGTCTTGCTTAAAATAAACGATTCATTTCCCCATTATGCATTCCACTGCACTTTCTCTATGTGTTGTGCTTTTGTAAGCTGACAGATTTTTGTGTTCCTAATGCTAGAATGTAAAGTCTTTTGGTTCATAAACCATATTTATCCCCTTAGCACTGCTTTTGAAGAAATGAGGAGAAAAGGTCTAGATGGCACTGCTTGAGTCTTCTCCCCTGTTGTTAAATTGCAGTAGAAAGAATTGTTAACATTCCTTATGCAAACACATGAGTATGTTGCAGGAGTTTTCAACTCTGAAAATGCATTTCATACCTACTAGCAGTCATGTACAATATATATATACAGATTGAGATCAGAGATTTCATTTAGGCTGTGCATTGTAGAGTCCAGAATTTGCCTATTAATTTCACAAAGATGAAAAAACACCTTAATTGCTGGCCATCTGGCTGTTTTATAATCAGAAGAAAAGCTATACATGTATGTATAAACTGATAGTAATACCACACCAGGACTGCCAAGACACACCTTTGTGGTCCTTCAGTTTAACCACTGGACATCAAGCTGACTGGTTTTCATAGAGTTATCCGACCTAGCACCCTCACCCTCACAATTTGGTAACTACATTCCAAGTCCATATGAGAAAAAAAATAAAGTTCGAGAATAAATTCTATATCAAATGTTATCTCTGGGCAGGATGAGTCAGTTATTTCTACCTACATGGTTACTGGAAGCCAATATATGGTTTTTGTTCTAGGGCATCTGTTCCAAGGTCCAATTTTTCTCCTTTTCCTGGTTTCTTCATATCACTGAGAACAGAAATGAATTCCTCTTTATATGCTTTTGAGACTCATGCTGCAAAGCTGCTTCTCTCCACTTTGATCTAGATTGCTCTGCTGAATTCCCCGGACACCCAAAATTGTGTTGTAACCATAAATGACAATATCAAGGATTTTTATGGCTTTTATGATAATTGCAGACAAGAGCCCACTTCCAGACTCGGGCTCTAAGTAGTCTCTAGAAAAATTCTTTCCAAAATGGTATTTTGGAGTTGTGCACCTGAGTTATCAATATGCTCCTTCTTGATATTTCCTACTTAAACTTTACTCCCTGGCAACAAGGGGCAGGCAATTTTATTTGTGTGATGCCCCACACTGATTGGAGCTCTGGTGGTGCAGTGGTTAAGAGTTCCACTGCTAACCAAAAAGGTCAGCAGTTCAAATCCACCAGCCGCTCCACATTGATTGCGTAGGAGAAAGCGTGTCCCTGGGAAAACTTGAGGAGTCTCTGCTCTGAGCCTGTGGGCAGAACCTTGGTCATATGAACATTCTGCCCATAAATCATCCTCAAAGGTGTTCAAGTGTATAATCAAAAAATAAGGGGCAGAGTTCCCTACACTAGTGAAAAAAAATACCATCCCACCTTGGGGCAAATTCAGAAAGTTGGATGGTGAACCATTTCTTTTTGTTCTCTGACAGTTGGAATGGAAGGACAGCAGGACGCTATCATATTCCAAGCTGCTGAATTATCACGGGAAGAAAGCATATATTTTCTCCACAGGCAGATACTAGCCTTGGCTAGTATGCATAATCAATGATGCTACTTAGAAAAGGTAAAAAAAAAAAAGCAAAGTCATCCTTCCATAAAAAGTGCAGTCAAATCAAATTTTAAGGAAAATTTAGCAAATCATTTTTTTCTACAAGAAAAACTTTTTTCTACAATAAGCCTCACATTGATAGAAATAAAATGTATCAGCTTATTCCCTTTCTTGTTCAACATATGAATGCATATGTCCAAATAGTATAGGAAGTACAATGAAAATTTAGAAATAAAATAAAAACAATAATTTTCACCTGCCTGATTATCAGTTATATATTTTTCTGCAATATCAACTGAGGCTCAAAACATTCATCAAGTTAATGGGGCTTTGTTGTTATCCTATTTTCTGCAAGTTTTCATGTTTTTCTTGACTAGGCGGGTTGCAATAAGTACAATAAAAACACCATTAAAAAACCAAACCTAATGAAAACCCATAAACTAACTTGCCTTATGCACATACTCTTTGAAATATTGCTGCTGTGAAAAATACAAAGGTTAACTTCATTGCATGTGAGGAAATAGCGTTCGCTCAATCTCTCCAAAGACTCACTTTGTTTCCTAGGAATAGAATCAAAATTTAGGAAGCAAGAAAAGCTGGAGACGACCATTAATCCTTAAAAGCAATGCACAAATCCTTCTTTTGAAATTACCCTATTAAATTCAGAAATAAACTCATAGGGAACTGTTGCAGAGACAGCTGACATTGTTGGAGAAAAGTAATCTGTTTGTAAGCTTTGTGCTCTATGTTAGTGTATTTGAATGACTTCCAATCTAACCTGAACATCTAAGATACTTCTAATTTCCCTAACTTTTTTCTTTCATGGTTGTCTTTTGATTAGACAAGATATAAAAACCACTTATGTATGCTGTCCGAAGCTTGTCAGATTGGAAAAAATAAATCCTTCTTGCTCCACGTTTTGTAGCCAAACACATTATGTGTAGACCAGATGCCGTGTAGGGCTTGTAGGGGCCATGCTTGTGCACTGGCATTCATTCGGTTATAACAGTCATTTCTGGATTTTCTTCTCCGCTCTGGGTTACTCACTCTAACTTTATCCACCTTGGAAACGTTTTCGCGAAAAAAATTTGGCCACCATGTCTGATGATGTTCAGAAGACTCCTGCTCTCTACATGCCAAAAAGGAAGATGTCATGGCTGATTCCCTGTGCTCAAGTGAACAAAGAGACTGGCCAAATTGGTTTCCTGAGCCCTTGTCTTGACTTCCCGTACGTTGTCTCCACTATGTGAGAGTCTTCCAGAATCCAGTGGGACCTATCTTCCCACAGCACAATTATCACCTGAATAAAGTAAGCTTAGACCATCTTCAGGTAACCATGTTTGCAGGGCATGGCAGATGATGTTTCATAAGCACAATGCCATCACATCATGTCAACCTTTGGAATAAAGATGGGAAGTATCTGGACATGACCGCTTCTCAGGGATACGACTGACAATGCTACCGAACCTTCTATGAATATTTTCTAAATAATTTCCCTCTTATGTAGGTGGAAGACTAAGCAGAGAAAGTGGAACACTGAGAATCTGTCTTGCCAGCATGTGTACAAATCACTTGCATTTTAACTGGAAAACCACAAGGACCTTGGTGTTCATTACTTAGCAGAAGCAACCCAAATGGTATGAAATGGACCACAGGATAGGCCAGCAACTAAGGTATTTTAGCATCACTTTTGTCCTGGATTGATCTGTTTTCCAAGTCCTACATCAGGTTATACAACTGGTTTGAAGAGGAATCTAGTCCTTGCTTCCCATGGGACCTCACGTCTTAGTTCACATAATAAAGCCAATAGACGATGTTGAAGAAGGAAAAGACCACTGGGAAGAAAATGCGGGACCACCGATCTATGGCATTCACATCAGTCAAGTCGGGGATGGTGATTTTCAGTTGGGAGGCGCGTCTCCGCAGGCGGCTCTTCTTTTGTGCCACGTGTCGTTCCAGGGCATTTCGGCCAAAACTATGCCTGGGCAACCCTGCTTTCCGGTACTGGATGCTAGAGGCATCGTAGGCCAGCATTGTGCTCCTGGGGTCTCCAAGTCCCATCACAGCCTCAGATGTGGCCATTTCATTTTTTATCTCAAGGGTGCTTAGTAAGATGTTTTCATGGGGGTCCATCTGCAAGGGAAAGAATCAAATAACACAATCAAACCAGTATGCCTTTAGTAGTGCTTGCTATGTAAGGCACTATGATGGGTAGTTTAGGTGGTGGTGTTTTCTTTACAGTGATTAAGAGAACTGGCTTTGTGGTTACATCACCCAAGTGTGAACTGAGGCTCTGCCACTCTAAGACAGGAGTTTCAGTTTCTTCTTCTATTAACAGGTATAATAATAAAACCCTATAGGATTGTTGTAATTACATCATGATACAATAGACTGTTACCATGGAGTCCTTGAGTGGTGCAAATGGTTAACGAAGGTTTGAATCTATCCAGAGGTGCCTTGGAAGAAAGGCCTGGCAATCTACTTCTGAAAAATCAACCATTGAAAACCCTATGGAGCACAGCTCTGCTCTCTCACATACATAGGTTGCTATGAGTTGGAATCAACTCGATGCAACTTTCTTTTTCTTTTTAAACTAATAGTATTCTTATTATTTCCATTTAAGGCATGCAGAGAAATAGAAGACATGACACCCCTTTAAAGAATTTGTAATCTTGATACGAACGCATAAAAATTAAATTGTACTAGGTTTTACATAGTATTGGGGAATTAATTATTGTACTGTGCTGACAACAATAATTACAGATGAATTAATGATGAAACTAGAGCTAAAAATCATAACTAGTATTTATTAAGCACTTATCATATATGCCACCCAATGAGCTGAGAAGAGTTTTGTCTAATGTAATTTAATTGATGCTTATTAACACCTACAGTTATGTGATGTCACCTAGGATTTTCAATGTCAAAATAAATAGGGTAAAGGAACAGTTATGTATAATATAAATGCAGCTAGCAAGTGACTTGCAAAAATGCAGTAGAATTCAGAACAACCAGGGTCTTGGAAATAAGAGTTTGACAGCTGGTGGTGGTGGTGGAGATGTGAGTGGCATGAGGGGCTGACTTGAAAATAAGCGGAAAGGGGCAAGATTAGAGAAGACGAGAGCAAGCCCAGAGTTGACTGCGCTAAATTGAATTCTGGGCGTAGGGAGTAGGACTTAGTTGGCTGTACAGATACAGTGCTCCTTTTCTATCTTGGATGATTTCTTCTTAGCCAAACTAAAAGTTAGGAATGAACACTAAAATCATGATTCCTAAACTATTAAATAAATCATTAATTTTTTTGTTAAGAAGGAAAGATTTGTCTGCCTTATTTTTAAGAGATCTCAATTGCCAGATATAATAAAAATTAGCCACAAGTTATTATTAATGACACAATAGGTTGACTGTAGTGGAGAATCAGGATATATCAATTGCCAGTAAAATTTTTGAAATTATAAAATACGGAGAAAATGGCCAATGATAGGTGTTGATGATATATGGAAAGAAGGGGCATAACCAAATACTTAATTGAATGATACCATGTTCTGAGCTTCATGAATTAAGCAGAAGGCAAAAAGAATGTTGCTAAGATTATACAGTAACAATTAGCTTTCAAATGTGATTTAATAACTCTATATTAGAAATTAAAATCTAAAATCTTTTGAGAAATAGAAGCTATAAAATACGTTAGGATATAGTAATTGACTAATCTCTGCCAACAGATCATGCTTTCTGTATGTTTGGTTTATGGTAGCATTTTGCTTAGTGGAAATATTAAACAAATATATTCTTAAAATTAACTTTAAAAGTTTATAATCTTTAGGAACTGAACCAAATATGCATTGAAACAGATCTGTCCAGAAAGAGCCAGCTACAGGTCTTAGTACTTGGCTCACCTGCCCTACGGAAGGAAAAGAACATTTAAAGGCACATGCTACATGCCAGTGCTTTGCAGAAAACTTCTCACTGAACATTCAAAATCATCCTTTGAAAAAGGCATAAGTCAAATTTCCCAAAGTCACGTAGCCACTAAATGATGGAGCCAGAATTCAAACCTTGACCATTAGAACCCAAAGCTTGGGGAGTAAGGGGTGAGACTTTCCAATTCTAACGACAGAAAAGCTAATGGAAGTGGGACCACTATCATCTCCTCTTGTTATTTCAGATAGTATGTGTATTTTCTGCTCTGCTCTAAGCTGTTCATTTGTACTTTAAACACCTGGGAAATAGCCTTTCACCAAAATTTCTTTGGCCGACATGCATGTAGATGTTTAGAAATGCCCCCCCCCTTCTCTGTTGAAAAACTGTACTAAGAAGATTTATAACTTCACATCAGACCTAGCTGAGCTGGAAATATAAAACTATAGTAGCAACTGTAATAAAAATAATGGCAGCAGTGGATTACCATCAAAGGAAGTTTATTTAAGTTTAGAACAAATTATCCTTGGATAATTCATTTTAATTGCAGTGGGCCTCTTACTTTATCTATGAAATTTAAGAAATGGATTAGGTAAATCCTGATGTCCACTGATTCACTTATATATTCATTCATTCAAAATTTATAACATATCTATTGAACACCCACTGTATGTCTGATATGACACCAAGAATTTGAGATACAGTGGTGAGAGAGCATTGTCGCTAGTCCCCACAGCAGTTAGGATCTTCAGAAAAAATACTGCATTTGGAGGCAAATTATTGGAGTTCTGGCTCCTTCATTTGTTATTTTTGACCTTGGAAAAATGACTTAATCCTTCTAAGTCTAGGTTTCTTCAACTGCATCGGGAGTCTAAGAATAATATTTATATCATAGAACTCTAGGGAATTAAGATAAAATACTTGGGAAACTGACACACTATACAAAGTTGGCTGTTATGACATGCTATGAATACAATAACATAGGCTCCAGTGGGGTGGGAAAAAACAATTATAACTATCTCTAAAAGAAAAATAAGTATAGTACTCTTGTAGTGTCTCTGGAATAGAAACTGTTGATGAGTTTTCTTTCGGTGAAGCTAATCGTATCTGCGAAGGAGCCCCGGCGGCACTGTGGTTAATTGCTTGGCTGCTAACTGAAAGTTTGGCAGTTCCAACACACCAGCCACTCCAAGGGAGAAAGATGTGGCAATCTGCTTCCACACACTACTGGAGATCTTCACAGACTGAAGTGGGAACATAGTTGTAGTGGAGCGAGGCGTGTTTGATCAATTTTTGAAGTGCTACTCCTTGGCTTCTGTCATATTATTAGACTATTTTAACCTCAAAATACAACTCCTTATATAGACTCAATTAAGTCCATTAATAGTCAATAAATAAATTAACCTGAATAAGAAAAAAATAACGTTTTCAAGAAAATCCTTATACCATGAGTACATTGCATGTCACAATGAAGCTGTGAAGTGGAGAGGGATAAAGTGTAAGCATCTTCATTTCTAATTTATTTTTCAATTAACAAAGACATGGATGAGGCTTAAACACACTGTTGTTTATTCAGCTGTATTTAGGGTTGAGCTCTAAGATAATGCTCTAATGACCCCATCTTATCCTTTGAAGGGCCCATTTTCTCCGTCACTCTTTCATATCCTCTATCAAAAACAAAAAACAAAACAAAACAAACAGACCAGTTGCCATCAAGCTGATTCCAACTCATGGAGACCTCATGTGTTTCAGAGCAGAATTATGTTCCATAGGGTCTTCAATGACTGCCGTCTTTTGGAATTAGATCGCCAGGCCTTTCTTCCAAGGCTCCTTTGGGTGGATTCGAACCTCTAAAGTTTTAGTTAGTAGTAAAGCACTTAACTGTTCGCATCACCCAAGGACTCCTATCCTCTATCAAGCCTTACATAAATGCCAACTTTCTTCACACCCCTCCTCAGGATTAGTTAAGTCCCTCCTCTGACACCACATCACACTGGGCATTCATCCTGCTGTCTCTGTCATCAAAGTTTATGAGCGTTTTTTGGAGGGCTGGTATAGTGGCTTAGTCAACACCTGGCATTCAGGTGTTTGGCTCCTACTAGGAGAAGGGATAAGCATAGTGTTTCCAAGTTTAGATTCTGGACTTAGAGAATTAAAGTTTGAATTCTGGATTGAGACACTTACTAGCTTTGAGACCTTGGGCAAAACATTCAACCTCTCTGAGGTCAGTTTTCTTCTATGTAAAAAGTGGGAAAATATCAATACCAACATTCTAGGCCTGTCTGAGTGGATTAAATAAGATAGTGCATGCAAAGCACTTAGCCCAGCTTTGCACATAGAAAGCACTCCAAAAATTGTAATCTATCTTGTTGTACAAATGCAATAAATATTCTTTAAATGAATGAATGAGATCTTCTATCACCAATTTTAAATGTCATGGACTGTGTAAACAAATCAGGGTTTTGACATTGTCATATTAGTGCCGAGAATGATGCTTAGTACATAGTAAACACTGTATACTTTTGTCAGCATACATAAATAAATTAAAGACAACAAAGAAGTCAGGACTGAGTTACTTTCAAATGCTGAAATGAGACAAGTAGAGGTAGAGATGGAACACTGGATTCACAGACCCACTGTATGCACCATCAACATCCTCCTGACCACAAAGGAAAACAGAACCCAGGGGTCGGAGAGGAAGAGGGAAGTGGAAGATGTCTCCAGTGCTGCTGTGGTTGGAGAAAGGGCCTCGATGGTTTTTCCTTATGACACTTGGACATTCCACCTTCATGCTCATCAAAGGTAACTGTAATCTTTCCCCCACAGACTATACTTTCTGGTAAGGAAGAGACAATGTCTGTCTCGTTCCTGTTGTATACCCAAGCACCTGGGATGGTCCCTGGCACATAGTAGGTGCACTCAACAAATATATGCTGATTGGATGAAATACATTTTGTGACCCTTAGTAACTCACTTAACCTCTTTGGGAGACATCAACGAAATGGATGTCTGCATCACAAGTCTGAGGATGGAAACTGCACAGACCTACCTTTTGAGTTCCTTTCCTGCTACAAGGCTGCTTCCTATACCTATACAGGTATATTTCTGGAGGAGCATGCCCAGGTACCTGAGAACTGGAAACAGCATATCCCATGGCACCCTGGACTACTCCCATGACAGATACCTCATTCTTAACCCAGGAGAAGGAACTTAAT